TTGGACGCCCTGGTCCACGGGTTTCAGATACAGCAGGCTGCTCTGCCTCATCGCTGATAGCACTCGTATTCATCACTGTTCTGATCATCTCCTGTGTCCAAGTCATCCTCTCCGACGTCCAAATCATCCTCTGCCTGAAGCTGCTCATCATTGTTGTCTTGTGCCTGCTGATTATCTGCTACAAAATCATCAAACAATGCCATTTCCATTTTATCGCTTGGAGATCCACCTACATTATTTTCCATGAAAATAACATCTCTGCTTTCAATAACTTTCCTTGATTTAGGACAAAACAAACGATATGCTTTTGCCGTTGCTGAATAGCCAATCATAACGTATTCATTACCTTTTTGGCTAAACTTCTTTTTATGGGCTTTATTCAATACGATTGCCTTTGAGCCAAAAACCTTGAGGTGCGACACATACGGTTTCTTGCCAACCCACGCCTCATATGGTGTCATGTTGCACAACGCTTTTGTTTCTGACCTATTGCGCAGATATGCTGCAGTCTGTACTGCCTCAGCCCACAGGCTCTCATCTGCGCTTGAATGAATCAACATACTCCTGGCCATTTCTACCAGAGTGCGATTTGCTCTTTCGGCAACTCCATTTTGCTGTGGAGTATAGGGTACTGTCAGCTGTCTTACTATACCGTTTTCAGTAAGAAATTGTCCAAATGCGTGGCTCACGTACTCGCGCCCGTTATCGCTTCGAATTGCTTTTACTTTCTTTCCGCGTTGTTTTTCTGCAAACACAACATAGTCTTTGAATGCGCTTAGTATTTCATCACGAGATTTTAAAAAATAAACAGCTGTATAACGCGAGTGATCGTCAATGAACGTTGCAAAATAACGCGCACCCCCGACAGACGGTTTGTTCATTGGTCCACATATGTCCGAATGAATCAAATTCAACACTTCTTCTGAACGACTTTCAGATTTCTTTGGAAATGGTTTCACACTAATTTTACTTTTGGCGCAAGTCTCACACGCATTGCTGTTTGAGTCAATTTTTGTATTAACTGTTTTTAAACCATTCACCATTCCACCACTCGCCATTTTAGTTAAGCTTGACAAATTTATATGGCCAAAACGATAATGCCATTTCCACATTGCACTGCTGTTTGTATTAGAATACATACACTGCTTCATTTTTATGTCAATCATAAACAAGTCACCATATCTGCACGCTTTCAATATGTCCACATTTTGTTTATCCCTAATCACTGCTTTGTGGTTATCAAAAATGACTTTATATCCATTTTCAACTGCTTTAGCCACCGATATAAAGTTTGTCTGTAACTCTTTTGCATACAACACATTTTTCAGTTCTATTGTGAAACTTTTACACTAACACACACAGTGCCAATGCCATCGGCCAACACAAAATTGGCGCCAGCAAGAAATATTTTTTCTTTGTGCTCTCTCATTTCTACGAACCACGACTTATCACAACACATGTGTACAGTCGCGCCACTGTCCAGACACCACATTGATTTGCTCAAATTGTCAGTTTTCTTCACATTCGCCAGAATAGCAAGGGCTCTCTTCTTCTCAGTGCTTGTGTCTTTGTCATTTTTTAATTCTTCTTTGCACTGAGCTATAAAATGACCTTCGCGTCCGCACCTATAGCACTTCTTTTTCTTTTTGTATTACCCTTTTGGTATACATTCTTCGCGCGCGACATAAATGCTTGCTGCACACTGCTGTCCGCAACTTCACTTTTCACTTGTTGTCTCTGTCCTTCTTCAATAATTTTTATTTTCAAGTCAGATAAGGACGGCAACATTTCTCGCGTCTCGATTGCCACAACGAAATTTTCAAATGATTTGCCTAAGCCGGTTAGCAACAAAATTGTAAGCATGTCTTCACTTATGTTCATTCCTATTTCGTTTAACTTTTCCACTATGTCCGAGAATTCACTTATATAGCTTTGCACACTTGTACTTTCTAGCAAGCTCATTCGCAGCAATCTTTTAAACAATGCTATTTTTCTAGCTGGTCCGCGCGGCTGGTACACACTCATTAATTTCTCCCATGCCTCTTTTGACGACGTGCAATTCTTTATGAAGTTAATTTGCGACGACTTTACACCCAGCAATATGCTTGCTAATGCCTTTTCGTCCCGTGTATCAAACAATGCGTTTTGTTCTTGGCTATCCCCTTCATTTTTTCACAGTTCTCCCGCACACAATTGGCCACAGATCACTTTGCACCAGAATGCTTTTCATCTGTACCGACCATACCGCGTAATTTTCCTCATCCAACTTTTCGATGGAACATAACCCGTGTCCACTCATGTTCATTAATTTTTTCGCAATCACACACAGTAATTTAAATTAATGTCACAGTTTTTTATCCACACGAGCCCTGGGCCCATAACCTGTTGGTTATATGATATTTTATTTATTGTGGAACTCGGATAAGAAGCTGTATGTTTAACATGAGTAACTTATAAGTTTATATGTTTAATAAGGCTGCGCGACAATATGTGGTGACGTCTTCAAAAGCAGATACAAGAAGAAAGAATACATAAGAAAATATCGCATAAAGCAATAAAAGGGTAGCTTAAGAGTGACCAAAGTTTGTATATCGATTGTTGCCCGACAAATCATATTTCAACACACTTTTAAGGTTTTCAAAGTGGAAATTCAGAGGAAAAAATATATAAAAATACGGAAATGTTGGCTGGCAATGTGGAAAATGTGATTGGAATTATGAATACACATATTAGTATATAATTTTAAGATATAAGATCACAATTTCCAATAGCTATTCCACATAATTCAATGTTAAAAATATTAGAATTATGTTTATGAAGTTAAAAAAAAACAACAGCTTATCTAAATCTAACCTTTTTCTGTGTAAATTTTCCAACAAAAACCAGTTTTTTCCCTTGAAAAATATCCAAATTATTCATATAATTTATGAAACTCCAAAATCTATTATCATATTCGAAAGCCATCACCTGGCTGATTAGCATAACTTTTGACTAAAAACTGGTTACTTTATTTTAGTAACCAAATGCCATTGAAACGAGTCAAGGTCAAAGCAATTTTAATTATACATTTTTCTTGTTAAAAACAAAACCACTTGAAAGTTGCAATCTAAAAACATAAATAAACCCTGAATGCAAGTTTAGATTGTCGCTAAAGGAAATCTTATCTAAATTGGGGAGTGGACTATATTTTTTCCAAGAATTTTAATTTAAAGTCAACTGATAAATCAAATAAATATATTGATTTTATATTATTTCCAGAAAAGAAATCTTAGAAAACAGTTTATTTTTAAACGTTTGTTAGTTGCCATTTTCTATGAAAAGTTACTCTGCAAGGAAAAGGCAAACACAATGGAAAACTAATACCCCATCAGAGCTGCAGAAGCAGCAGCTTTTCCTTATTTTCTCGACAAGAATGGCGGAGGAAAAATGCAATTACGTTCAAGAAAAATAATACCAGGATGAAAAAATGAAGGAAACCCTATAATTGATTGCAAATATAAAACCAACAAAAGCTTTTCAGCCAATTAAAGGAAAATAATATCTTTCTACGAAGGGCAAAAATTTGAATTTTCCAAAAGGGGAGGATTAACAATAAACATTGTATTTTATGCAGGAAATTCAAAACCAATTAACTTGTTAAGTAAACAAACAAAGAATATGTAAAATTATATAAACAACTTTTTCAGAATTTATTAGCCTTATGGAAAATTATGAAACTAAATATTTGCCTTTCTTAGTAAAACCCAACACTCGCTTTTACGCATTTTCCTCAATTTACAGACAAATACCACAAAAAAAAAAGGTAAAAGGAAACTCTAAATAATTGATAGATGAAAAACACACATTGGCTTTTGCTTATATAATTGCTAGATGGAAGGAAAATAATAACAATGCCTGGCAGAAAGGAAATTCAATACCTGAGAAAACTGCCATCTGTTCTGTACTTTCAAATGCAGTTGAAAGTCCAAAACAGACATGAACGAAAATTATCAAAAGAATTTGCAAGTTTTACGGTAAAAATTAATACAAAATGTAGAAGAGAAGGTAACAAAGGGAAGAAAAAAAGAAAAGGAGTATAATTAATTCAATAATCAAAGGGAAACTTATTGGGAAAATTGCATTTCCAAAGGGGAAATAGAAAAATATTGACAAAGAATACAAAAAAATTGGGAAAGGCATTTATTAGAATAAAAATCTTTATTTTAGAACTTTTTACTCATCTTTTTATTTAATAAAAAACTCAGAAGTTAACAATTTTAAAGGAAAAGAGTTAAAAGGCTTAACCTGAGGTTAAATAAAAGAATCCCCAATGAGTTAAATGAAAAGTCTAAGCCATAACTTGGTTTTAATAGTCAGGAAAGGAGTTAGTAGCTTGAGGAAATATTAAAAAAAATCCATAATTTAAAACAGTTTTACTGACAATTTTTATTTAAAGTTACAAACCATTTAAGCTATCTGTTATTTCTCTTAACTTTTTGTTTTCTTATTTAAAAAAAGAAAAGTGAAATTATAGTACAGAAAAAATTAAAGTATTTTTATAAAACTTATTGATCTTGTTTCTACCCGATTTCCTTTAAACTTCTTTCAATTCAAAGCCACTTAAAAAGTTAACCTCTGGTTAGCAATCCAAAAATAACATAAACAGCCTTTAAAAATCAGTAATTTCTGCTTTTAACTGATTGAAATCAAAGAATAACTAAAATCTAAGATAAAAATCGATATATTCTACTAGTCTCCACTTATTCTCAGTTCTTAACCTGCAGTTTTTCCCCTACCAAACTGACAGGAACCAACTCTGAATGGCAAGGAGGAAAAAAAGGCTGCCAAAGACAGCAGACAGGAAATGAGCTTTGCGGCGGAAATTCACTGGGTGGAAATGGTTAAGTTTGATTAGGAGGCGCGTTCGTTTTTTCCTTCTTTCCTCTCATTTTCTTCTTTTTTTCTTCTTTAAAGTTAAGTTAACTATATTTACAAATAGCAATAACAAAAAACAACTCACCTGTGAATAGGAGCTGCATTTGATGGCAGGCGTTGTTGATACGCGGACATGTTGGCAGCCTGTTGCTGTTGCTGCTTTTGGTGTTGCTGCTGCTGTTGCTGTTGCTGTTGCGTTGCTTTATTTTGCTGATTAGAGATGCTGATAGATGATTGATGCAAATGATGGGACGTTGGTCCATTATCATGCTGCTGCTGTTGTTGCTGTTGCTGTTGCTGTTGCAGCTGTTGTTGCTGGTTGCTGCTGGCAACAACACGTTGTTGCTGTTGGTGATGCTGCTGCTGTTGATGGTGCTGCTGCTGCTGCTGCTGCTGATGTTGCTGCTGCTGTGCACCGTTTGGTGTGTTGTTGTTGTTGCTGCTGCTGCTGTTGTTGTTACTATTGTTGTTGCTGCTGCTAGTGTTGTTGCTGTTACTGCTGCTGCTGCTGCTGGTGTTGTTGTTGTTGTTGTTTGTGGGCGGCGGAGCACCGACCTGCACTGAAGTGGAGCGTATAGCTGCTTCCATTTCATGCCGAACTCTTTTGGCTTAAACACTTGTTGTTGGCCGCAGAATTGATTGATTTGTTTGGTGTTGTTGTTGTTGTTGTTGCTACTGCTTTTGTTGTTGTTGTTGTTGTTAACGTGTTGCTGTTGCTGCTGCCGACAGTTGCAACATTATTGCACTGCGACATTCTCTCGGAAGTGCCCCACAAAAAAAATTCTCTTCTAAATGTTAGCACTTTGATTTTCTTCTTTCTTTTTCTTTTCTTTGTATTACTTTTTCCTTACTAATTTTCTTCAAGTTTAAATTGATTAATTTAAGTTGCTTATTTTGTTGTTGTTGCTGCAACTGGGGCAACAACAGTTGCCTTAATGCAATTGCATATTATTTGTGTAATTTTTTCTTATTTTTCTTTTTTTTGGCTACCTTTTCTTTCTCTATTTGCACTTTATATAAATCAATTTTTATTTTTATATACAATTATTCATTATTTCTCTATTTACACACACATTTTGCTCTGAAAGAATAATAAATAAAATCGATTTTAGCACTAAATTTCATTTTTCATTTTTCCATAATGGTTGTATTTAATTTTTTATAATTTGTTTTTCATTTTTATAGAAACTTCACTTCACTTTAAGCAAAAATCAAACAAAAAAAATGCGAAAAAAAAATGTATTTGACCGTAAATTTGTGTGTGCGTGTGTGTGCCCGCCATATACACATTTAATAATTTCTTGTATTTCATTATTTTCTTTATTTATTTTGATTTTTTTTTTTTTTTTTTTTTTTTTTTTATTATTTTTGTTAATCCTCTAAACGAACCGAACCGAAAAACACGACAACGCAAACGAAACGAATTTTTCCATTAATTAACAGCTTTTGCACACGTTTTTTTTTTTCTTCTTTTTTCATTACTTTTTTTTAGTCATCTCGCTGTCTTGCTCGCTCCCTGGCTCGCCCCTTCTCTTTCGCTCTATCACACAAGACACACACCGAAAAAAAAGAGGCAAAAACAAAAGAAGTTTACTTTGTTTTTATCATCCAACCGGCGACGAACGACGACGTCCATTTTTTTTCAACCTGCAAAAAAGTAAGGAAAAAACACTGATTAGTTGCAAAAAAAGAAATGAGAATCGATAGCAGGAATAGCAGGTTAGATGATTAGAAAATCGATAATGGCCATAAATATTCCAGCAGATAATGTCATTCCCCTCTTGCCATAAACACCCCTTCAAAAAAAAAAACAACAAAAACAACATCGAAAACCTGAAGTGCAGAGCACATTATCACGTCTGCGATTATTTCTGTCATTGAATTGCCCAGCCATCGCAATCCGACTTTTTGTTATCGATAATGGGGCTTAAAGGTATTTCTACGGTCAAAAGTCCTCCAAATCGTGTCTTCTAAAGGCCAACGGCAACGTGGAATACGGAAAACCAAGTCAGTGAGTGAGTACTCCAACTTAAATGACAATAAGTGTCACTTTGCTTTACTATCTGGTTATCGATAGGCAATTTTGATACCCAAATCAAAAAATCTTGCTCTTTCATGCTAGTTAAAAGCAAAAATAATTGAAAAGTCTTAATATAATTTAGGTCGTAAGTAGACTCTAAAAGAATTTTTTAGCAGGCCACAATTTCGTATAGAATCCGGTTATCAATCGATTATTTCGATTACCAACACAATTAATATTATTTAAATGTGTTAATTTTATTTGCTTACTGAAAATAAAACAACTTAAACGTTTAATATTGGTGGAATAGATAGATCTATAAAGAATTTCTTATCGATCGATTATTTCGATTGTTAAATACGTTAGTCTTACTCATTTATATTACAAATAATTGTTAACTTTAATAGATGTGCTACATCTTAAACTAAAAATAAGTCATAACTAAAAAAACACACCCAACAGTAACTATCTACCGATAATTTCGATAACCAATTTAAGTAAACTCTTGAAAAAACCTCAAAAATCTTTTAGGATGTAAATAATTCCAACTATATTTGCGTGTCATTAAAGATTTAATGAACATTAGCAGTAATACAAGTAATATAAGTTCTAAAAATATCTATTTCCATTGTCAAACATGCGTTTTGAGTGCTTACTAAACCACTATTCATTAAGTTCCCATCATTATTTTGAGAAAAGAGGCAATTAATGAATCAAATGAAATTCACGGACTTCAAACCAAGCGAAAATGATTCGACTGATTCTATTCGAAATGGTTTTTTGTTTGGTTTTCGTTAAATGCAAATACAGAAATAATAAATATAATTATTCCGGAATTTGCTCATTAAGTTTTTAACGATTCGTTTCGCCAAATTGCTTTGCAAACGTAAATTGCAAACAATATCAGAATATATGTACATATGTATATACAATAAGAGAAATTCAGAAATATCTTTATGTTACATCTAAATAAGGAAATACAGTACAAACCAAACCCAAAGCTTTTTGTTTATATACATTTTTTCCGCATTTTTAATGCTTTAATTTCAAGAATTTCTGAACGTAAGCCGCACTTTTGTTATAAAAAAAGTTTCTTCCTCGTCTTTTTTTTTTGTATACCTGCTAAATTTATTTCAGCACCCAATGGAATTGAAGCGCTTTAAAAGCAGAACTCATCAATAATTTTTCGCCCACTCATCTATCATTCGATATAGCATATATGTATGTACATATATAAGTGTACATATATATAATGTACAAACATACATACATAAATGGAGATATGTACGAAAAACGGAGGAAGAAGACAGCTGCCCTGGGTAGAAAATCATGGGTGCTGAAGTTTGGCAACGTTGCTATGAAAAACTCTCCAATATTTTTGGCCACATGTTTTTCTGGCTCTGCCACCGCCTCGGCTGACGTCGCAGTCAGCGTTTTTATTTCTATTCCTTCTCCAACACCACCGCCATCCCTCATGCCTTTTGTTTTATTTTGTTATTTTGCAATTTTTGCAACTGTGTTTGCTTTTAATGAAAGCAATTAAACTGCACCAGCCGCAAATAAATAAAACAACAGCAAAAGCAACAATGCGGTGAATGCAAACAACGGACGAAGCGAAATAGTAAATTAAATTCACACTACGAAAATTGAATTGAATTTAAGATGCGAAAATTAAGCACGAAATTCCAGTAAGGTATAAAGCAAAATAGAAGAAGAAAAACAAGAAAGAGGAGAACGATATAATAAAAAATAAAAGAAAAAAAACTCAACCAAGCAGACGAAAGCAAAGTTGCCAAACTTCACACGCCGAACACGAAGGATAGAGCGAGACGGGAGAAGAAAAAACTTAAGCACGCGTAAGATTAAAGTAGCGCTGTTGCCGAATTTCACTAGCAGCATGGCAAAAAGCAAAAAGCAGAGAAGCAAAAAGCCAGAAAACAGCCCCAGCGCAAACAAATTAATAAAAATAACAACACACATACAATAGCAGACAGCGAAAATATATATGTAAAAAAAAAGAGGCTTAAACTAAACTATACGAAGAAAAAAAAAATAAATGAAAATAGGAAAAACAAAAACGTAAAAGCAAAAAAAATAATCACAAGCAAAAGCCAACAAAGCAGCATTATAATAATAATAATAGCATACAAAAGAAACTACAGTGAGCTCTCTGAACTAGATAAAATAGTACCCTCAGCTAATTAATTAACTAGTTCTTTTATTTAAGAATATTTAGTTGCAGCAATTAAAGTTTTAGATTATAGATTATATTTAAAACAGAAATATACATAAATAAATATGTGTGTCTGACTTTCATATGCTATGTAGTTCACATGGGTTCACTGTATCGAGTGTACACAGTACAAAAAAAAAGAAGAAACCAACTTAAAGAAGAAGACGAAAATGATGCCGAGGCAAATGTTCAAGAGCGAGCGAGAGGGAGAGGTAGATAAAGTGGAGGAGCAAGTGAGAGCGGGGGAATTTTAGTTAGCGAAAGAGAGATAGCAACACGAGGGGGATCTGCGCACAAGTCAAGCGGAAGACAGAAAGAGAGGGAAAAGGAGTGATAGCAAGAGAGGGAACAACAAATAAACCAAGCAAGCAGTAATGGAGCAAAGAAGACAGGCAAAGAGGTATTGGGGGGCCAACCAAAGGATGAAAGGGAAACAGTGGAGCGATGAGAAGTGAAGAGGAAATGAGGGAGAGGCCACTGCTGAGGTTGAGCAAAAACAGAGAAGCAACAACAACACAAACGCGGGACAAACAGTGGCGCCCAAATTACTAACTCACAAAATATGCCAGTCATTTTAAATAATTTGTAATAACGAACAACATTATAACAAAAAACCGTGCTAATATAATTCTTGGACCACAAGACTGTATTTTTTTATGCAAAATAGATATTTCAAATGATATTTATTAAATAACAATTACACCAATTATTCAACACAATATAAAGGCAAACTGTATTGGATTATCAAAACGATCGTAATCTGCATCTTGTTGAGAAGTAAATACGTACATATGCATATATATATATAACACTTGCATAAATAAATCAATTTGATTACTGCAATTTTTTCCGAATTAAATTACTGCAATTGCACAGGTGCTATTATTGCAAACACCACTGTATACATGTAGATGTACTGTATATGTATGCGTATACTATGCCAAAGCAAACAGTAGGCGGCATGGCGAATGGAATGGTAAGAGGAAGTGTTCAAGAGGATGGTGGGCGGTGTATGAAGCAAGAGGGGGAGGATGAAGAGACATCGTGCGCAGGAACGTTCGTGTTTGCACGTGTGTTGGTGTGGGTAAAAGAGTGCGGGTGACGCAACAGCAACAACAAGTGCAAGGCGGCAGAGCCGTTGGCAACTGAATACCATACACATACACATACTACGCAGACATAAAACTCGCAACGTCATAAAACGAATCGGACAACAAAGCGACCAAGCGACTAAACGACGAACGACGCGACAAAGCGACGACGACAAAACGACAAACTCGCACAAATACAAATTCCCCAGAGAATCAAAGTGCCAGAAAGAGATATAGAGAGATGGGCGGCTGGTAACAAGTGCGAGCGAGATGCGGCGATGCTCTCATGCCAAGTTGTTGTTGTCTGCTTTTATTCTTGTACTTTTAACCCACCCACCTCCTCCTTCTTTTAGACTTTACTTTTTGGGCTATTTTCTGCATTCGCTTTTTCGACAATTTAAAAGTTCAGGCAAAATGCAATGCAGAAATATATTGTAGCAGAAAAAATTAAATATTTGCCATAAGCACACGTTGGAACTAAATTGGTATTACAATGTATACTAAGGTCATGCTTTTATGGGTTAATATTCTTATTTTGGACAAATGGGAAAATATATACAAAATGAAGTAATTTCTTTTCCTACAGTTTAACCTTTGATTTCTCACTAATTTTGAAAAATGGGAAAGTAAGGATTAGGACTAACCGAATTTATATATGTTTATATTTATTACTTATTACAGAAAATGTAATGGGATCATTTAACCTCTTCTTTCCAAAAAATATTCTATTACATAAG